TACTTTGGAATATGGTTTCTGATTTCTTCTTTGTCTACCCCAGGAGACTGTCTCTTATCCAGTGCATTTTGGGCTTCTGATTTCATTATGTTGTTTTCCCATACAACTTTCATATAAAAATATGGTCTGCATAACCCCTTCCCATTTCAAGTAATACAGCAGCGTTTTTCTTTTGTTCGTTTGTTTGTTTGGACAGGAACATTTCCTATCAGCAAACACACTTGCCATCAAGAGTTCAGGTAACAACATCCCAGTATTTCCGAAGCACTAGCTGAGGCTGAATTCTCCGAATTTCTGTTCAGAGGTTGGCCTTCCGCCCCAGAAAGAAGCCTTGTGACAAGAGGTGTGGTCTAGAATCCACCTCCCCCAGTGCGGTATTAGGAATGATAGGTTTTCATCTAAGTTAATTTAAGTATTAAAGCTAAGGGTTGCTAAGTTGGATTTTTAAATTTATTGCTGAATTTTAAAGTAACCCTCGTTACCCTATGTCACTGGTTCTAACACCTGCCGTTTTCACATTTTAACGACTCTGATGTTGGGATGCGTCTTACGATCGCTTAAAGGGGGTGGCGGTTGTAACTGAGTTGTCACTTCAAGTCTTGGCTGTTATTCCTGGTAGCCTGAGAGGGCCTCCTGCAGTTTCTCAATATTCAGTCAACAAACAATTTAAGGACTCTTCGAAGAAGGATTGTGCGTCCTGGATTGTATTTGAGGAAGGATTGTATCTTCCTTTGACATTTTGTGGTAAGTTTCAGAAACAAGCAGAACGGAAGTCGGCTTAGAGAAAAGAGACAATAGTTGAGCATCTGTTTCTCAAGTTAGAGCACCACCCGCATCTTGGTGGTGCAGAGAACGTGCTGGGTAGAAAACACAGGGCTGCATAACTCAGACGCAAAAAGTGATTCAGAAAAATTGGACTCTGTGTAGATGTTTCAAGAATTACTTGATCATTTTATTTCACTCATGGCAATCTACTCCAGCAAACTGTAAACTCTCTGAAGTCAGCAGAAGGGTCAGGCCTTTGTCAGTTTTCTAGCTTTAAAGCCCAGCTTCCTGGCACTTGTCAGATGTTCAAAGAGTGGTTGTTGAATGAATAATGAATGCACAATGGAGGAAAAGAAGATGGTAAGACCAACTGTGGAAAAGAAAGGAAGTCTGAAGGCAACATTATGAGTAAGGCTTAAAATGGACCTTAAGGGATGAACAGGGGCTCACAAATCGACAAGGAGAGAGAGGGTATTTCAAGTAGGTGTTAGCTAGCAGAGCCCTGGAAAAGCAGGCTGCATTTGGGAAATCACACCTATCATTCATATATCTGGAAAGCCAACAACAGAAATTGGTACGAATGAGACTGAAAAGGACATTCAGATCCTGAATGTTTTCACATACTTTGCTTTTTAAATTAGTGTGGACTTTATTCTTAGATCACTGATTTTAATCCTTTCTGACTTTTATCTCATGAGAGTCATTCTATTAAAAAGTTATCATCCAAGAGTGAACAAGTAAAAGCTTGGTTTTTCCCAAAAGGAAATTTATATTTTCTAGCTTAACATTATTTTAGTCTAAATTTTTGGTATGCTACTGGAGCAAATGTTTTTGTCATATTATAGAAAGTACACACTGAATCGCCATGGTTTTGAAAGACAAAAAATAATTCTTAATTATAAATTTCATTGCAACAATAACAGAGTATGAGGATTAAAAACACAGTAGGTAGGGAGACGGATAGGCAGAGGAGAGAGGATTTTTAGGGCCATGAAAATAGTCTGTATGATGTTATAATGGTAGATATATGTCACTACCTATGTGTCCAAACCCGGAGAATGTATAAACTGTGGTAAACTGTGGACTTTGGGTGATGATGAAGTGCTGATGCAGGCTCATCCTTGGTAACACATGTCCCCCGCTGGTGAGTGATGTTGAAGATGGGGGATGCTGTGCATGTGTTGGGGTGGGGGATACCTGGGAAATCTCCATACCTTCCTCTCAACGTTGCTGTAAAACTAAAACTGCTCCAAAAACCACAGCCTTAGAAAAACACATAGTATGACTGAGAAATAATATTTTGCTTACAATTAAAAGACACGGCCAGAAATAAACACTGTGTTAGCAGTACAAAACAGCATTACTGTGATAGTACCAGCCTGTGGTCAGGCACCAAGGCACCTGCTGGGAGACAAGAGCAGGGGATGGTGCAGTCACCCCTAGCCATGGCAGGCCCCACGTGCAGGTGGGTGTTGGGGAAGAAGCAGGACTTGGTGACAGTCCCACATGAGGCAGCCAGAAGCCATTTCCCATATGCTGCCCGTTCAGCTTTGAACATGTTCCTTTCTGACTAATCCTCCAGCCAAGACAACTGGGAGCTGATAAAATCCAAAAACAAAACCCGTGAAGGCATCCAAAAGGCCTCCAGATTTAGAAAGCAAGTTTATTTCTATGAAAAACAATTTCTGGGGTACTTTCCCACACATCATACAGCGTGTCTTCTCCTTTGTGGACGTGCACAGGAGTGGCTGGGCAGGTGGGAACCCAGGTCAAGGGGTTGTGGCTGGAAGGGAGGAGAGGAAGAGCATCAGCTAAGCCAACGTGCCACATTCCAGAGGCTTTCAGGGACAACTGGAGGTGGTCAGTCAGTGGCATAAATGTTTGAACTGACAGGGAGTCTTGTCTAAAATGAAATCTTTCCCCGGCTCATGGACTTCTTGAGCATAAGCACCCCACTTCCGGGCCACAGTGTGAGGCATTTGTGGGGGGTGACCTTCCTGACGTCTGAGTCCTGTGAGTGGAGGAGGGGCCCCAGGTGGGCAGCAGGGGCAACAGTGAGCGACCGGGATCTCCCCGCCTCCAGGAAGGGCTCTGAGGCCTGGCGGGCCTGCCTTGCCCTCGTTGGGCACACACCTGCACTAAGTCCTTACCACTTCCTGGGGAAGCCTCACTCACCCCTTCTCACCGTGTACTGACCAGCTTCTGTTGCCAGTGACTTCTCCCAGCTGAAGTGGCTCATGGCTAGTCTCAGGCTTATCAGTCATTCGAGGACTATTTCTGGCCAGACCTTCCTGGAACTTTACCAGAAGACCAGGATCTCTCCATAAGAAAATTAAAAGATAACTCGAAAGAAAGGTATTCCAACCCAGATTTAAAATGATTTCACAAAAATTAACTAATTCATTGAATGAAATGGTCCCATAACAAACATGTCTAAAACGCACTGTTATTATTTAATATGTCTCTGCCAGAAAATGAGAGAAATACAGTCACAGTAATGAATGTGTGTGGTGCTGTATTTATGCCAATAACAGAAGCCAGACGGGCCTACCAGAGGCACACAGGGAATAGCTATGAGAAATTAGGGTCCTGTTCATTACTCTCCGATTGTAAAGGGAAATTCTCTGTTCTGTTTTGATAAGAACTCCTATCACACATTACCAGAGCCTAAGCTATTGTAATACATAATATTTGCTGTGAAATTGAAACACTTCCTTTTTTGTGAGAAGCAATGGCTATAATGAAACTTTAATTCATAGTTCACTCTAGAACCACAGGCAAGGACTTTACCCATAAATTCATTTAGAGTGAATGAATGTCTCGAGTACCCAATATTCACCAGCACCTGACACACCCCTTAGTCCTGCACCATTGTTGTTTTCTAGTTGTTATAACTGAAGTAGAGTTGTCATACAATATTTTGTAGTTTTAGGTGGAAGAAGAGGTTGGGGGTGTATGTGTACATGGTATGTGTGTTTGTATATGTGGGGTGTGTGTGCGTGTGTTAGTATGGAGGTTGACACCATGGGAAATTTATCAGCAAATGCAGGCACCCAGAGTTAGCCAAAACTAATCCATTCCTAAAAATCCAGCTAACAGATTTTCAGATAGTGGGAACCCAATCTCACATTTTCTAAATAGGAAAAGTAAGAACACACTTCTAATTTGCATTAGTGCACTGAACTACGTATTTTCTAGTGTTTCAAAAATATCCTGTGCTCAGGTAGCACAGTGAAGCTTTACAAGGCCTAACAGTAGCTCCTAAGTTACCTTGATTTTCCCATGCAGAGAAAAACTAATACACCTGTGCCCGACCACGCTTATGTATTCTGTATATTTATGTCTTTCCATAGGCTTTATTGCTTCCAACTTTTCTTCTGCAGAAGGAAAGACTACTTGGGCTCGCCCTTTGCTTCACAGCCTGGCACAATTTTCAGAAGGTGTTTTCACTTAATAATCTGGGGAAGATAAGAAGCAACACTGTCCAGCATGTTTAAACAGCACACACGTGAGATGCAATGCTGCTTCCTGGGGCCAGAGCGTCGTCTTCTCCCGGGGACACAGGGCAGCTCGAGCATTTTCACTGGCTCACGCCTGCCATTTCCGTTCAGAGGCTTACAGCTCCAATAGGAAAGGCAGGGCCACCATTTTGATAAATCCATGAAAAGTATTTGGAAGGGACAGTTGCCGTAGTGAAGACCCAGCAACCCAGCAAAGTGAAGAAAGTTATTTCCTAAGGATTCCTGGTCTCCGTGGGATTTTGAGACAAACTGCAAAGTGGCCTATGAATGATGTTCTCTATGGAATTAGGCCGGGTTTTGCAGACACCTACATCTGACTGTATTATTTTAAAGAAGATGGAGCATTAGGAGGATTTCCATTTGAAGGGCAAGAGAAAAACAGAAATCCAATGTTTGAGAAATGGCTCTTTAATCATATCATTGCAGTGTTCAGAGAGGGAAAGATTCTTCTTTCTAGTTAATTATCATTTAATGGCCAGTAGATTATTTTGCATAAACTAATATGCAACAACACTATTTAAAATCTCCCAGTAGTATTGATTAATTAGTTCTCTCGTTTAAAGACTTTAATCACGCTATTTTTCAAAGAAGAAATAAAAAGTGAACTTCGTGCAATGTGCTGACCATCAAGAAATCATGCATTATTTTAGGCAGAATGAGAGATGTCCTCACAGACCCCCCAGGGCTAGAGTAGCGCAGCGACCTTGGCCTTACCCTTTGATCTCAAGGCTTCTAATACCTTTGAGTCCGCGGTCACATCACTCACTAGCTTGATTTCGATATTTTGTGAAGTCAGTTGGAGCAACTTTTCGAAAAGACGTTGACCCTAGAAAAAAATATTCAGAGACGAGGAAAGTCAGAAAACCTACAGTATGCTCTTTTAAAAAAGGTATAAATAAACTTATTAAAAATTAAAACTATTCATTCAAATTTTAAAAGGCAACCACTTCAGCAGTTGATATTCATGGAAACTTCTTTCAAGAGAGTTCTAGAACCGGAGTACTAACACGAACGCAGATTACATTATGTTTTCTCGAGTGCTGTGCGATTCAACAATTATTGTAATCCCAAGTTCAATGCTACAGTGCAAATCTACCCTTCTCTTACTTTTCCATGAATTCTGACGTTATCTACACGTGAAGAGGAAGCAGAGACTATTATTCAGTTGTGTTTGGGCCCAGAGAGACCTGGATTCCACCTGGGTTTTCCAATTTACAAGTTGTGTCTCTTCTCACTAATCTCTAGCTTCTTCCTCAGTAGAACATAGATAAAATTAGCATTTACTTTAAAAGGTTTTTTTTTTGTGTGTGTGAGAATTATAGGAATTAGTAGTAGGTAAGTATCCTTTCAGTGGAAGTTCTGATGGGGAAAGTCACGGCTACTTATCAGGGATTTGCCTGAATTCACCTTCTGGTTTAAAACCCATTTTACAGAAATCAACTAACACTCTGCCTAGCAATCTGTCATTCCTAGCACAACCCAAAAATGACTGGAATAAAAATACAAAATAAAACATAAAGGTTTTGCTTACATAAGATTTTCACAAGCATTAAATTTTTATAGAAAATTTTAATCTCCGGGAGACTCTGCGTAGAGATAGGTCCTTAGCAATTACACCGTCTCAGGCTAGTGGACCGCAACCCTATCCTGTTTATTTTCCCTTGTGTGTGTTCACAGACCCCCTCTCCTTATCATAAAAGGAACTGGTCTTCATTTATTGATTTTTCAGATCTTTGTTATTCAGCCACAAACTCAAATGCCTTCCGGGGTCAGACAGGCAATAGGCTTTGGTCTTAATGGCCCCCAAGTGGCAAAGCCTTATCCTGCTTTGATAAGAATGGACCATTAATAATGATTCGGTACAAAAGATGGCGGAGGGCATGGAGGATGTGGATGTAGCACATGATTCCTGCACTTCAGCCTCAGTAAAGAGAGAAGCCAAAGATCAAAGCCTAAGACTTTGGAAGGTAAGAAGAGCGAGCCGGCACGGCAGTTCCTAGGGCCACATAGCAGGGGGGAGCGCCTGGCATAATCCAGCCCTGCACAGACAAAGCTCTGTCATCCCTGGGTACTGGAGGGGAAGGTGGGAGTTGCACCCCAAGGCAGGCACCAAAGCTTCCTTTTCCTTTAACTAAGTGTGGAAATCAAGAGTGCCCAAAGTGGAGCTCACGAGTTACTCTGCACCCAGAGCCTGGAGGCAAGCTCCCAGCAGAGCAGGTGCTCCGGGGAGGTGTGGAATGAGTGCAGCAGGGTGCTGTCCACTGCTCATTTAAAAGAGATGGGGGCGGGGTGCGCGAGAAAGAAACATGCAGAGAGGCAGAGGACAGAAGAAAGAAAACAGCAGCTGCCTTGCAGATTGCAGGGTCTACGTGGATTTCAAGTTTCCTGCAGGAGAGGGTAGGGCCTGGGCAGCCAGGGGCCCGGACACAGGCCGAGAGGGACCTCCAGGTGGCGGGGCGCTGTGGTTCTCCTGCGGGGTTATCGCCAACACGACCTCCCTCATCAGCTCTTGTACCCCACTGACTTGTGTACTATAATCTTGTCACACAACCTTGGAGGCTTGGTGATGTCTGCATGGCCCAGATTTCTGGGGCCCAGCCTCGTGGTCATTCCACAGTGATGCAAACTGTTCACTGTTTGTATTCTTCCCCTTCACACAGAGAAAAAGCTTATGTGCTTTGTGTATTGTGAGACCCCACCAGTAATGGGCCGGTATTTTTACACAAATGCTTTTTTTTTTTGCTCTCTGTTAATAATGTATCTCGCATCAATGCAACATAAGAGATCTTCTAACCTATCTGTATTTCTGGCTCTATGCCTTAAATCGATTCCCACTATGTTATTTTTATAAGATTTAAAATGAAGACCAGAACTCTCAAACATGGATGAAAATAGAAACTCCCAAATTCACAGATACTGGCAGACTGTCATTAAATAAAGCTTACTTTTCCTGTTAGTATGTGCTGATGACTTACACCAAGGATTCTTAAAATTGTTAATGATAGTGCTTACTGTAATGAACTTGGGCCTTGGGGGGAACTTCTCCCCTGTTTTCAGTATCTTACCTCCCTGTCTACACATTTTTGCTAAGACATTTGGATGTAGTATCCAAGGTTTGAAACACCTACTCTATGCCGAGATCTGCAGTAAGGGCTAACTGCTTTCCGAGTTAAATACTCTCACTGTGTTTTCATAAAGGAATATGAAAGCCCCTTGGCTTTTTTGGGGTAATTTTTATTGTTATGTTAATCACCATACATTACATCATAAGTTTGTGATGTAGTGTTCCATGATTCATTGTTTGTGTATAACACCCAGTGTTCCATGCAGAACGTGCCCTCTTTAATACCTATCACCAGGCTAACTGATCCCCCACCCTCCTCCCCTCTAGAACCCTCAGTTTGTTTTTCAGAGTTCATAGTCTCTCATGGTTCGTCTCCCCCTCCGATTTCGCCCCCTTCATTCTTCCCCTCCTGCTATCTTCTTCTTCTTCTTTTTTTTCTTAACATATATTGCATTATTTGTTTCAGAGGTACAGATCTGTGATTCAACAGTCCTACACAATTCACAGCGCTCACCATAGCACATACCCTCCCCAATGTCTATCACCCAGCCACCCCATCCCTCCCACGCCCCCCTCCAGCAACCCTCAGTTTGTAGCCCCTTGGCTTTTAAACATCAGAAACTCTTGAACAGGGATGCCTGGGTGGCTTAGATGGTTAAGCATCTGCCTTCGGCTCAGGTCATGATCCCAGGGTCCTGGGATGGAGTCCCGTATCGGGCTCCCTGCTGGGTAGGGAGCCTGTTTCTCCCTCTGCCTCTGCCTCTCTCTCTCTCTCTCTCTGACTCTCATGAATAAATAGATAAAACATTAAAAAAAAAAAGAAACTCTTGAACAACATGGGTTTGAACTGCATGGGTCTACTTATATGCAAACTTTTTTCAATAAATTCAGATTACAGTGCTGTAAATGTGTTTTCTCATTCTTATGATTTTCTTAACATTTTTTTCTTAGCTCACTTTAATGTACATATAACATACAAAATATGTTAGTCGGCTATTTCTGTTATCAGTCAGGCCTCTGGTCAACAGGAGGCTCTTAGTATCAAGTTTTGAGGGAGTCGAAAGTTATATGCAGATTTTTGACTATTCAGTGGGTTGGCGCCCCATTAACACCCGTGTTGCTCGAGGATCAACTAGTTTAAAAACTTGCCCTTCCTGGTGAGGAACATTAGGTAACATTTCAAACTTAAATAAATCATCTTGAAGATAGTCAGTGGCTGAGGCGTGTTGCGCAATTTAAGCCAATTAAGCCCAGGCAGGCTGCCTAGGTGTTGGAGTATGAAGTATTGAGGGGAACTAGTTAACCACCTAATACTTCCTCTCCTTCACCTAAAAGGAAGAAGCCACTAATAATCTGCAAAAGTCAAATATCGATGTATTTAAGGGGCCCAACAAGAGAGAAGATGCTTGAATGCACTGGCACTTGATATTATAGGCTACTCGAGAAGACAGAGCTAGAGCTAAAACACAATGTAAGTACTCAATAACAGACAAGTATGGCTGGGACTGACGCTCTATGATTTTATAATTAAATTAGAAGAATAATTAAAGAACAACATGGCCACTGTTGAGACCCAAATCAGTGGTCTGAAGATCTAACGGAAGAAATATTTCAAAGCACACACATGCACGCACGCGCACATGAAAACATAGGCTGATAAGGGAAGAAAAGCGTGATAGATAAATCGAGAATGTATAACATGTGGCTAATAGATGTGTTGGAAGAAAACAAGAGGCAGAAAAAATAAGCTTTCAAATAACAGAAGAGAAATTGTCCCACTTGAGGAAAGGCCCACATCTACATGTTGGGAAAAGATAATTGAAGATGAAGGCAAATGTAATGTGGAAAGACACATTTAGGCACACTCTATGAATTCAATCCAACACCAAGGAGAAAGAGAAATTCTTAACAAACTTTTGGCCAAAAACCAAACAAAAAGAGTTACCTCTTGAGCAAAATGGATCAGATGGGCACAGAGCCAGTCATCTGCAACACTAAGCCAGTACATGGTGGCCTCAGACTCTGAAAGAACAAACTAAAGCAAGGGAATGCTTTAACCCAAAGATTTTACCTGCCAGGGTCAAAAAAAAGAGAAATATTTGCAGATATATACACATTTAGAGACTCTATTACCTACATGACCCATATGAGGAACATATTCAAGGAAAGACTCTAATCAAATAACACTACCCACCAGTGAAGATGATGAAGGGGAGAAGAACAAGGGATGAGCAACTGGATATGGATATGTGTTTGATGTACCCACTAAAGAAGGATTCTTGAAACAGAACAGACACAAGGGAAGTTCTAATGCTCTACTGAGAATCTATTACGTGATTCTCAGTGGGAGGTGCTACTACCCGAAAGGCGCAGAGTTGGTATAAGTTATTCTTTTTATAAGTTGGTATAAGTTACTCTTTTTATAAATAAAACACACATATACATACAAGAAATATGCAATGTATCTATGGTATTAAAATCTCATGGGGTGGCTGGTTTAGGAAAAAAAATGTCTAAAAATCTCCCTTAGTAAGGTGACAATGAAGAGAAGGTTGAGAAACACTGACCTACAGCCAACAGGATAAAGAATCTCAGTAAAAATTAGAATGAGTTGGGAGGGCTTAAAAGTACTAGATGGGAAAGAGTAGGGCCTTATTCTGTTATGGCACAATTTATGGAGCAGTGACAGTTGCCAACTGGTATGTGCCAAACAACACAGCAGCTAAATATATAAAGCAAAAGCTAACAGTAATGCAATAAAA